AATATGCAGAGGTCAGGCCAGTACACTCCTACAGGCGGGGATTTGTGTTGTGGGATTGCGCCAAACATGCCACACGAGGTCATCAGGCGAGGACTAGATCCATCAGGTTAAACTGTCGTCTGCAGACAGCGAGTAGTGCATGTGAAGTGGCCGGCTCGTGCCCCTACAAGGACATCTATGCGAAGGGGGGAGGGCAAGGAGGCTGCACACGAGCGGGCACGTAGGCCGATGTCCTGGCCGCTAGCAGCAAGGCAGGCAGACAGGCTAATGGCGATTTCAAAGGAGACTGCATAAAAAAACAGTATCTCACAGCTGAGTCGCGAACAATTATGACATAATGCAAGAACATGACCTTCCACGAGTGCTCTTCAGGTAGTCGGGAGACCATAACGACCGCAGAATAGCAGCAGTAAAAAGCACGAGGTGGCGGCAATTGCAGGCGTAATTAAAGCCCCAAATATTACATCATTTTCTACATGTTATGATTCCGATTTACGCTAAATGAAACGGCTTAAGAACTGCATGACCTAGTGTGTACGATGGCATTTCTGAACCATGTCCGCTACAAGTACCAACCAGTTCATTTTCCTAATTGTTTATTTCTATGAGAAGGATACCGTTCAAGAAGCAATTTTGGATGATAAGCTACGTAATAAGTAACGCAAGTGCCATAAGAGACTATTGGTGACGCAAGTTATAACGGTTAAAATGTCCTCCGAAGTAGGACAAAATATCCTTTTTATCGGAAACATCGTCCTCGTCTGTCTGGCGCAAGTCATCAGACTGCAGTCGCTTAAACAGCACGCACTTGCTAGGAGAGCTACTTGGCTTCATGAAAAGCTGTCAATTATTGAAGAGGATGGTGAAGACACAAGAGTTCACTGACATACACCTACACTGTGCTTTACGAATCCCTGTCCGGTTGCCTAGGGTGAACGTTTAGCAAGAGGCATCAGTGAGTGGGAAGTCAATTTGGAGAATATAGAGATCAACCACCGCGACGCGGACTGTTGGGGTGGCGTGGGAGGTGCCAGATACTGCTCCAATAACACTAGTGCTGACACACAACAGAATCACGCCGGTAGACCAATTTTTTAGACGCGTTAAGTTGTCATGCGCCTTGCGTCCTGGATCGACTGAACGCACAGGACTCTTAGCTGACGACGAGGACGAGGAGCATGAAATGTCCTTCATTCCGTCAAGTTTTGAACGACTAGAGTTCCCCTACGTTTCGCCTCCACAGTTCACTACAAATCAAAGGTGTGGATCAATGGTAGCGAAAGAAACGCGTCATTTCGGCACGTGTTGACCAAATAGGGTAAATAATGCACCATACGCCTATTGATTAGTCAATCCAATAATCCGGCAAACATGCTGCAAATCGCGCAAGGAAAACTTCAGAGCTAGGTAATATGATGCTCATCGGTAAACTATCGGATGAAAAGGTGGTGGAAGTGAGTTTAGGAGGACGTGGGCAGAGGCGCCGGAATATTGGGATAAGTAGGGAGCGGCGTTCGCCGCTTAACATTGAGAACTAGCGTGTAGGTAGATTTGATAGTCATCTGTGATTGTGACGGAACAAGGAGTATCAAGAAGACACCCACTACCCTCTACATTCACCTGTTAACAAGTGGCGAAAAAATTTGCTAAGCCTACCTTGGGTACATGCCAGTATCCTTGAGATTGAGACCAGGTGGTACGGAACGCGGCACTGCAGAACTGGCCGCAGCGACTGCCTCGGCGGTCAAGCCGAGATCAGAGGGGTTGAGGCCGCACTGACGGATGGCAGTAATGAGATTGCGTGTCTTGACACCACAGTGGGAAGCAACGTTGCGTTCACACCGTTTGTGGATGTTGGTCTTGCAGACCTCGCACTGCAGACCCTGACGCATCAGGCCGAACAGCAGGGAGCCACAGTGTTCGCAGAATGTTGGCAGCATGTAGGTGTGAATGCGAAACTTGTGGGGAACGTTGATGTTGAAGCGATTCTGT